ATGTCGCAGCTGAAAAAAGCTCTACCAGCGTAAAGCTGAAAATAAAGTATTAAGGTGGTGATGCAGGCGAGTTGGTTCTTGACAGGCTCGAGAAAAGAGCGAAACAAACACAAAGACGAATAGAATTACTGGCTGCGACGAGCGCTGACTGAGAACGGAAAGTTTATTGAAGAAACACATTAAAACTAGCCACAGCATCCATATTGTCACGAATGACGAGGTGAAACGAAGAACACAACTGGAAGAACTGGGGTGCCCCAAAGAAATAAAAAGGAAACAGAAGATAACAGCAGAGCGTCGCGGGTGTCGAAGTCGGCGTAACAGCAGAGTCGAACACTGGGGAAAAACTGCCTCTGGCTCGCCACGCGGAACACCTTTAGTACCCGCATGTATTTCTGGAACATTCGGCCTAGAATGTTTGGCTCGTAGAACATTCGTAACTGGATCGGACGAGAAGGTTCTCGAATTTACGAGAACGCCATGTAGAAAGAACAAATAAAATAATATTCTGCTCCCTGGAATCGAACCCGGATCCTTCGCGCAACAGCCAAGTACGCTTTTTAGAGCGCAGCTCTTGGGCGCCCGTTTCCGGCTTGAGCGGCGTCGCCGTCGCCGTCGCCGTCGGCGTAACCAAGGTCATCTCAAGGTCACGTGACCCCCAAGGTCACGTGACCCCTCTGAAGATCATCCAAGGTCACGTGACCCCCTGAAGTTCACGTGACCCCAAGGTCACCCCAAGGTCACGTGACCCTGTCAGGTTCTTTATGGTAAAAAGAAAGGAAACTGAAAGGTCCGTCTGATTTTTGATATGAGAGAAATATATTTGCACCCAGTTGTTGTTCTACTTTCCGAATCCACTGAAAAAAGGAAACTTATTAGAAAATAAATAAAAGAAAATGGCGTACGTCCAAAGTTCGACTTGCCGAGCTTGGCACTGGCTTGCGCTTGGTTTAGGCTCCTTGACCGGTGGTCGTTTGGCTCCAGCTGCCAGCGCACCGATGGTGATCAGCCAACCGGTTGTTGGGATGGCTTTGCCGGTTCACTCTTGAGCCAGGCTTGCAGTTCAGTGTTGGCGGTGAGGACAGGTCGGCAGACTTCTATCGATGACAGCTTCGCCGGTGTATTCCGGAGCCAAGCTTTTCCGAATCCCTCCGCTCTCGGCCCGAATCTCCTCGTTTCTCCTCACTTCTTTTTCTTCCTCTTTTCTCCGCTAGCCTCCTCCGATTTTCTTCTTCTTTTTGTCGCCGTATTGATGACATCATTACAGACCCCCAGGTCACGTGACCCCTCCGAGGTCACGTGACCCCCGAGGTCACATGACCCCTCCAAGGTCACCTCAAGGTCAAGTGACCCCCAAGGTGACCCCCACATGACACCCCAAGGTCACGTGACCCCCAATTTCACCCCAAGGTCACGTGACCCCCAGGTCACGCCTCCCCGAGGTCACGTGACACCCCCCCCCCCCCCCCGAGGTCACGAGACCCCCCCGGAGCATATTAAAGAATGAGGGGAGGAGGAGGAGGGGTCTACCCTCCCCTCAGTACCCTTCACTCCTCCTCAAGAGCTCCGCTCCAATTCGGCGTTACAGGGAGTTGTAAACGGCTTTCACTTTTTTTTCTTTTTCTTTATTGCCTGCTTTGACAAGGACAACCAAAAGCACAAAGGCCGGCACGTAATCGGGCCTCGCGGCTACATTAAAATCTTTCAAGACAGACCAACCTGTCCAACATTAACAACCAGTCCGGTGATTCAGGCACTGTACGGTAAACTTCACGTATATAAACAGTAGTTTCAATGAAGTATACTGACTTGGAGGCCGGACTGTGCGTCCGCGTTATTAACACCCGTCCTCGTCCTCCAGTGACTGTGGAGGCCAAGGAGCATAACCATATCGAAAGGAACGCCACCTTCGTTATCTGCAGGTAGAAACCGTATGGCAGGCGCAGTCAGAGGGAAATCTTTCTTGAGCGTTCGCTGCAGGATGTCCCAAAGGAAAACGGCATTCCAACATTATAAAAATATATGTTCTATAGTTTCGGGCCTCTTACAAAGGAAACAATTAATCGACCATGGCACAAATAATCCTTTCCCCTGGAGCCATGTCTTAACAGGTAGCACGCCGCAATGCAATTGAAAGAAAAATTACTTGAACGAAGGTTTTACCGGCATTCTTTTTACTTTGTTTAAGACATTCCGCCCTGCACCCTCACAGTACAATGATCGGTAAAAAGGTAGGGTAAAAGAACATCGACTAAATCTGTATAGAGGCTTTTGCGACTGACTGAGTTCAGGTACTCGAAGGAAAACCGAACTTTTAACATCCGAAATACCATCACAACTTCCACGTGAACCCGGTGAACGCTCGCGCTTATTTGGTCGCTAAAAGATACTACAAATTCTGGCAGGGCGCTTTGCAAATGCACATTAATAAAATTCCTCAAGAATACATCTCTCTGATTGCGTAAAAACAAAAACCTAGAAACTATTTGGCGTATAAACAAGTGAGACAGTCCTAGATCTCCGCTTCGAAATGTACAAAACAATTTGGTACGGGAAAAACGCTCCGTACCTGAATTCTAAATAAAACCAGCAAACCCTTTGTGCAGCCTCTGAACATTGAGGCGTGACATAGACAACACTTGCGAAATACACCATATTTTTGCGATAAAAAATAAATTGCAGAATGTTGCGCGCGCAAACATGGACAAATCGCGACCTTTCCAACCCTCCGCTTTCGCTCTTGCCCTATCAGTCTTCTCATTCCACAAGTTGCTTAGTGGCCCGCTAGTGCTGGAGTGGCACACCGAGATACTTCACGGGCAAGGTGGTCCACTGCACGTTAAGAAAAACTTCAGGCATGGTGGTCCAGTTACCAGGCCAGAAACCCGCGCATTTTCCCCAGTTGATTCTACTCGCTGTTTTCTTACAAAAGGAAGATGCTATACTAGCCACTTCACGCAGATTGTCATGATCAGTGCAGAAAACAGCAACGTCGTCCGCGTTGGAAAGGACCTTTACTTCATAAGATTGTAATCTAAAACCACGTATATTCTCATTATGAATTAATTTTAAACAAAAAGTTTTAAGTAAATCGCGAATAGCAAACGGGAAAGAGGACAACCTTGCCTGACTGAGGACTGGACGTGGATACTTTCACTAACGTTTCTATTCACAATATTTGACGTCGTAGAATCGGCGTAAGCCATCTTTTTACCTTCAAAAAGAACAGAACCAACATTAACGTGTTCCAAAATGCGAAAAGGAATATCACGTGCAACCCTGTCAAACGCCTTCTCTAGGTCTAGCTGCAGCATGGCAACTCGGCCAGCGAAGGAATCACAACACTCTGATATGCTTCGAGCCACGTGAATGTTTGTACAAATGGTCCCACCTCTTATACCGCATGTCTGATGTGGGCCTACCAGAAATGTAATGACATTTTACAAACGGGAAGCTAAGACTTTCACGTTAATATTGTAGTCTACGTAGTAAGACTTACTGGTCTGTAAGAGGACGAGAATAAAAGTTTCATAGGGTCATCTGATTTCTGGATAAGAGCGATATCTGATATTGAAAACGATGGTGGTAACATATTTTTTAGATAGGCCTCGGTCACCACTTCATGCAAGGCTTCTGTGTCCTCCCTCTTAAATGCTTTATAAAATTCCGCACTAAGGCCATCCGGTCCGGGCGTTTTGCTAGCACTTAATTCCTCGATCGCAACTGTAAGCACGCTAACGCTAATCGGTTCTTCCAGCCGTTCTCGAACATGCTCTTGAAGCCTTGGCCTGAGCGACAAGAATTCTTTCTCGAAAAGAAAAGAAGATGACGTCTAAGTGAGCGCCACGTTTGTTACTCGCTCCTCCGATTCAGCGCTACTTAGCTCGTTCATTTCGTCACCCGAGATTCACAATCAACAACAAATGATTGCTCTAGTCGTCAGGACCACGGAATATCTACATATGAGCAAGTAGGTCCTCCCGAAATTTCATTTTCGGCCTTCTGAAAATCCGAACCGGGACGCACGCGCTAGGCCTAACCGAAGATAAGATTGCCCAAGTCCATGCAGCGGGCCGCTCAGCCTTACCACGAATAGGGTCAGCAACTTCAGGTCCCGTCCTGCCCTCGACGGACCCTGCGCCGCCCGAAGTGACCTCTCTATCGTCTTCGGACGAATGCAGCACCGACCCAGAAGAAAATTCCGGGTCCCAAACCCCTTTTAAGACGACATGCGTCGCCCAACCCATGGAACATGACTCGGCCCCGCAAAGGTCAGGTGACTACACATGGACCGACGTAGTCAACCGACGGGTAAAGAAGCAGAAACGTATCGCGGAGTGTGCCGCGGCCGCCGCCCAGGCTGTGGCACAACAATTCCAACCCCCCAAACCCACTGGTAGGCCCGGACGAGCCGGCAAGACCCATCCAACACACCGGCTGCCGCCGCTACCCGTGAATGACCACAAGGTCATTGTACGACCTAGGGACGGCCTCAATTTCACAGTATGGAGCGCCGAACAAGCCGCTATGGCCTTCATAGACGCAGCTCAGCTCACTGCAGCGGAGATCGACAAGGTCAAGATCCGAATACGCCGCGACCAGAATCTCGTCGTGGTCAGCACCCCTGAGCCCGAGGTAGCGGTCAGGGTGCAAGAGCTTCCCGCTATCACAATCAACGGTCGCCAATACGAAATCCTTGCTTACATCGCTTTGCCAGATAATTCATGCCGGGGAGTGATCATGGGTTTGGATTCAAGACCGACATCCGAGATTCTTTCTACGAGAATACGAGCGCAGGGAGTCAAGGTCCTATGAGAACGGATGATGTGCCAAACAAACACGGCCATTATCAACTTTGAGGGACTGAAGGTTCCCTACTACGTGTACTTCAGGGGCGCCGAATACCGGTGCGTACCACACCGACCCCGAGAACAAATATGCACCACCTTCTTGGGCCTGGGACACCGCGTGGATGTTTGCCCACATCCCGAGGAGAACAAATGCTGCAGATGCGGCAAACCGGAACAGCGGACCAAGAGCACGACTGCAACGAAAAATGTGTCAACTGCGGTGGGTCGCATCCAGCCACCGACCCAAAGTGTCCGGCAAGACAGCGGGGGCCACTCAACAAGGCTCACGTTCGTCGCCAGCTAAACCGCCAACCTCCAGTACAATGCAGGCCTCTGACGGGACTGTTAGGACCGCGTCAGAAGCCATCTGCGGCGTCAACCAAGGTAGAGCACCCGCAACCCAGACCACGGCCGAGCCACAACCCACTGGCGCGCGAGGAATTCGCGCCCATCACGGATCCCACACCTGCGGAAGCAGCTGCGATGGAACAAGGACCGGCGCCGAACCCTAAGAAGCGGAACCGAAATCCCCCTGAATCACCAGGTCAACCACCCGCCGTCCCGGCAGCTGAGCTCTCCGATCCCCGCGAGCCCGCGAGTAAAGTAAGGTTGACGGAGCCGCAACCCCCCAAACCCACACCTTCCCTCACACCGCCACCCTCCACACCCCCTGAACCCAGCCCCACATCAGAATGCGAGCTTACCCCCCTAAAGGCACAAGCGACGTCAGACCAAAACCTAGAAAAGCTCAGAGAAGAATCCAACGCCAAGTTGAAGGCGCTCCAAGCCGAGATGATGGGTGAGCTTGACAGGCGAGTCTGTGAGCTGGCCAAGGTCATCCACAATGACGTACAAGCTCAGATGCGTAGCTTTGCGGAAGAAATCATCTCACAACAAGAGTCTCGCTTCCGGCAGATCATACAACCCCTCATCCAGCCCTTGATGAAGCAGGTGGCGGAACTCACAGTTCAGTTGCGCCAAATCACGCAATCCAGAATCATGGTCTCCATTCCCAACGAGTCTGTGGTCGCCATCACAAGCAACACCGCACCCACACCAACAGCGGTCAACGCGAAAATCCTGCCCAACCCCACGACCCAGGAGCCCCCTGGCACACCTCAGATCTAATATGGCAAGCCAAAAACCGACAGCCCATTCATCATCAACCCTAGCCCCGTCCGAGAAACCCACAACAACAATCTGGCAATGGAATTGTAGAGGGTACAGGCGCAAGCGCGGCGCTCTCATGCACTACATCGGCACAAGAGACTTTGCACCGGATATTATCGCACTACAAAAGCCAAACTGTCCTCCGAGCCTCTCTGGATATACAATGTTCATGCAAATGGATAGCGGCCCGGAGGCTACACTGTACAGAGCGGCAACCCTCGTCGCAAAACACATCTCCGTCATAAACCATTCCTTCGAGCAGCATAGACATATACCCCACTCATTACTCGAAATCCTACCCAAGAAAAAGACGCTCCCCAGCCTCTTTGTGCTCAACGTCTATAGCTCCCCAAGCCAGAAGACAGATGACTTCAGAGCCCTCTTCCACGATGCGATCCAAGTTGTTCAGCAGCGAACAAACTCCCTAGTGATCGTGAGCGACTTCAATGCGGCCCACCCGACCTGGGGATATGTGAAGGAGAACCCCAAGGGACGCAGGTTAGCACAAGCCATCGCCAACAATCACCTTACCATCATGACAGAACCGGAACACCCCACAAGGAAGGGTAACAGCGTTAGTCGCGACACGTGCCCAGACTTAACCCTAGTCCGCACGCAGACCTCGTGTAGCTGGTCCAACCTGGACGAAACGCTGGGAAGTGACCACTACATCCTGGAGACCGAGGTGTGCGATGCAGGCCGTAGAGCACGAAGGCTTCGACCCGCTCGACTCAAGAACTGGGACCAGTTCAGAGAGCAGCGAGGGAGCACCGAGAGCGGAGACATTATCTCCATCCAGGAGTGGACCCAACGGCTCCATGAAGACGTTGATCGAGCAACCAAGAAAGTCAATACTACCATCGACACCCCAGCGATAGACCCCCATCTCCTCCACATGTGAAACGCCCGGCGAGGACTCACCAAGCGGTGGAAGACGCAGAGATTCAACCGCAAGCTGCGACTGCGCATCGCCGAGCTCCACCAAAAGGCGGAAGACTACGCAACAACCTTGGCGGAAAGCAATTGGAACCAACTCTGCCACGGGCTGCGTGGTACGCTTGGGACCGCTAAGACTTGGGCAATACTCCGATCCTTGCTGGACCCATCGCGCTCCACGACCGAGACATCCAAGGCCGTGACCAAACTTCTGCACAGACTGCAGCGGGACGAACCCTCCATTTTGAAGGAACTAGAATCCCGATACCTCGCAGCCGGCCCACGCCCCGACTATGCAGAGTACTCCTACACGGAAGAGCCGAGCCAGCAAGACGCGGACTTCACCGAATCGGAGATACAAGCTGTCCTCACCAAGCTTACGCGCACCACAACCCGGGGAAAGACGGAGTCACATACAAAGTGCTGCAAAACCTCGCTGACGCTTCCATTACGGCACTCACCCGATATTTCAACGAGGTCTGGAAGACAGGAAAAATCCCGGAGGAATGAAAACACGCGGACATTACACTTATCCCTAAGCCTGGCAAGCCACTGGGACTTCAAAACCTACGACCCATTTCGCTTACGTCTTGTGTGGGGAAGCTCATGGAGCACGTCGTATTGTCACGACTACAACCATATCTCGAGGAACAAGAGTACTTTGCGGACACCATGTATGGATTCCGACCATGCCTCTCCACGCAAGATGTCCTCCTCCAATTAAAGGAAGAGGTTCTGGACTTTCAAAGCCAAGCCCAGGCGAGGGCGGTGCTAGCCATCGACCTCAAGGGGGCTTTCGATAATGTCTCGCACGATGCTATTCTACGCAACCTCACCGAGACCCACTGCGGTACAAGGGCATACAACTATGTGCGATCCTTTCTTGTGGATCGAACCGCCACCCTGGGGATTGGTGACATCCGCTCGGACCCCATTCGTCTAGCAGGACGAGGGACACCTCAGGGATAAGTTGTATCGCCCTTGCTGATCAACGTGGCAATGGCAGGCCTCCCGCACAAGCTCAACAAAATCCCGCACTTGCGACACGCCCTCTACGCCGACGATATCACGGTGTGGACCACCACAGGGTCGGAGGGAGAAGTCCAGAACAGACTGCAAGAAGCAGTCAAAGTCACCCAAGACTACGTGGGAGCGGCAGGGCTAACCTGCGCAAGTGAAAAATCCGAGCTCCTGGTGATCCGAAAACGCTCAGTACTGAACAAACACGCGCCGACCATCGACCTTACGCTAGGAAATACACCTATACCCCGGGTAGAGCGCCTACGAATCCTTGGCATGTACCTCCAAAACCACGGCGGAGCACGAAACACCGTGGAGCTCCTGCGCAGACAAGCCGACCAAATAGCCCACCTCATCCGACGGGTGTCTAATCGGAAAGGGGTGCTCAGTGAACAGGATACGCTGCGAATCTATCAAGCCCTCATTGTGAGCCGGTTCACATATCATGTGCCCTTTCACAACTTCACCATCACCGAAATGGAGTGGCTAAACACCTCGCTCCGCAAGGCGATCAAGACAGCCCTTGGTCTAACAAGCGACTCCTGATGCTGGGGGTCCACAACACGGTGGAAGAGCTAGTCGAAGCGTAAAAAACAGGACAGCTCACACGCCTCAGCGCCACCCGAACGGGTCGAGCAACGCTGCACAGACTTGGCTACACCAATCTCACGCAGGAAGAACCAGCCGCCCCAGTGCGCCTGAAACCGGATATCCTGAACCGCGTACAGGCGGAACCTATCCCTAAGAACATGCACCCAGACCTCCACACAGGGCGGAGAGAGGCCAGGATCCGGGCCTTAGAGAACGTCTACGGCCCAGACCCACAAACATGGTACACAGATGCTGCTCTCCACAGGGAAAGAGCTGGTGCAGCGACCATCGCAGTGACAGACAGAGACGGCACCTGCCACAGCACGGGCTCCATCTCAAACATCGCGTCAATCCAGGAGGCGGAGGAGATGGCCATAGCGCTGGCCATCTCACACGCAATCCCACGCAGAGACACCACCGACCTCAAGCATAAGATAATTATCATCACCGACTCGCAAGCAGCGTGCAGAGCGTTTGCGGGCAACACCCTCTACCCAAGGACAGCACACCTCATCAACGCCATAAGAACCGAATGGTTACAAATACCGGTCATCCGGATCATCTGGGCCCCTGCACATCTGGGCTTATCCGGCAACGAAAGTGCTCACGCACTAGCCCGAGCGGTAGCGACAAACCGGGCTTTGTCGGATGGGAACGGGATACAGCGAGACCCAGAGTCAAACACACCCGCGGACTCCCAGTCCTTCCGCTCTCCAACCGACACACACCTTAACACCTACCACCTGGTAACAGAATACTACCGAACAACCCGCCGGGTCCTGCCCCCTCCGCATCGGGCGCTATCCCGGGCAGAGGCAGCGGACTGGCGACCACTTCAAACATTTACGTTCCCAAACCTCCACCAGCGACATCGCCGGTTCCCCAACCGGTACCCAGGCCCCTGTCCGGAATGTGGCAGCGATCACCCTAACCTGTACCACTCCATCTGGGAATGCCGACACCCCCTCGTTGAGGGTATCACCCCCATTCCTTCCCCCACCTTTTCCTCCTGGGAGTCGGCCCTTTCCGACACAGAGCTCGATGACCAGCACCGACTGGTTGAGCGAGCCCGCCGAACCTGGGCGGCCAACGGAGCCCTGGACTAAGGGAACCGACCAGAGACCGCAAGGTCCTTTCACTTTATCAATTAATAAAGTTTACGATGATGATGATGATTTCTCGAACTCCTCTTCTTCTGGAACGCCCCTTCGAAGCAGAGCGCGATAAAATTCAACAATGACCGCCCAATCGCTTTCTTATCGCGGGTCATCGAATTACCGACTCACAACTCTGATATATCTTTGCGCTGCGCATGCCGCTTCTCGTCGCTTATCGGGCGTTTCGTCGGTCTTTCGCCCTGCTACAGCTTTTCAAAACGCGAACGCACAATAGCCCCCCTGTATCTTTCGCAGTCGATTACTTCGAGTAGATTCTTCCCTTTTGTCTTATTTCTTGCCCAAGCTCACCCGGCTTCGTACTTTCTCCTAGTAAAAAAGTGCATAACTGACTACGGCACGCTTTTTCTTTCTGCTTTCGCTGAAAATTAAGAATACTGCTTCTTTCAATGGCCTTAAGTTTCACCTCCTCTTTAAAAAGTTCCCATCGCACCCCCCACATGGTCGCCTCATCCTCATATTGCCACGCTCGTCAGCAAGCGACCGCGTGCGTGGCCGAGTGGTTACCGTGCTTGACTCTCGTGCAGAAAGTATGGGTTCGATTCCAGTCAGTGGAATGCTCTTTTATTTGTTCTTTCATTGCGTTCTCGTGAGTTCGAGAACATTCTCGTCAGATCGAGTTCTGAATGTTCCAGTCGCCGAACAATCTAGGCCGATTGTTCCAGAACCCAACGCGCGTACATAAGGGACCCCGCGTGCTGATCTGCAGTCAGTTTCGCCCCAGCGTTCGACTCTGCTGTTTCGCCGACTTCAACGCCCGCGACGCTCTCTTATTATCTTTTGTACCCTTTTATTTTTGGCACAAGTTCGCCACATTAAACGTTTACTTATTCCTACTTATTTCTTGTTTATTGGTCACCACCCGTGACAATATATCTTTCTAAAAAAACCTTTTACTTGAAAGGTAAAAACTTCATCCTTCACAAGACAGCTATTCTATTTCCAGAGCGACCAATTCCAATTTGGCTGCTTAAATTTATTATCAATCGTGAACATTACTAACGAGTGGTCGCTAAAAAAGACGGGTTGAACAAAAGAATGGACACATAGCGGGACAAGATCGAGTGACACGTACGCCCTATCGAGACGCGCATGGCTAGCGCCCTGAAAATGTTTAAAGCGTACACTGTTACTAGAGAAGACAGAAGCCACGTCTTCCAACGAATTTTCGCGAAAATATCAGTTAAATAAAAGGCACTCTGGTCGCGAACACCTGTCAAAGTCGCCCGATCCTGG